TCAAAGAAACCACCGGAAAGAATGGTTGACCAGGAGCAAACACAGAGCAATGTTGTTCAGTGTCATCAAATTAGCTCAGACGCATAGCAACCCCTGTGCACGACAGAATGAAACCCTGCAAGACCCTCAGCCATCCTTGCAGCAATGATTCCTGGGCTGGAGCCCATGGTTGCAGCCGCTGTGTCCATCACTCCATCTCCTGGAGGGCCTTCCTCTTGTTCGCTGCTCCTCTACATCACCCAGCATGGTGTCCTTCTCCAGGGACTGGTCTCACCTGACATCATGTCCACAGGGTGTGAGACAAAGTCTTGCCATCCTGGCCTCTAAGGAGCACTCTGGCTGTACTTCTTCCCAGACAAATCCATTTGGGGTTTTTTTGCAGTTCATAGTACTTTTAATATTCTTCTCTAGCCCCACAAGTCTAATGCAACTATTCTTCTATGGTCTTCCTTATTCAGTGTCCACCTATCACAGGCATAGGAGGCAGTGGAGAAGACCAGGACTTGGGCCAGGTGCACCTTCATCTTCAAAGTAACATCCTTGTTCTTCGATCCTCTAAAGAGGTCTCATGCGGCAGATTTACCTACCGCCATCCATCTTTGGCTCTCTTGACTGCTGCTTTCCTGAGCATTGGGTGTGGATCCAAGCAAGACCAAAATCCTTGACAACTTCAACCTTTTCTCCACGTGTCTTGAACAGAACAATAAGGTGCTTTGTCTCAAGTTAGTCTGAGGATGTCTTTGTCACTGGAAGTGATTATCTTGTCCCTGTAGCTAGGCGACAGCTACATCCAGCCCATGAACTGGGCTGAACAATGGGTTCGTGATGGGAACAATTGCTGCCAGGACCCTAAGAGTGTTTCTATCTGTTGTGCTGAGGTCGCTGTGAGGCTGTAACAACTCAATGGTACCTTAGTGAATGATGTAGGGAGTGCGGAGTGGAGACCCAAAGCCCAATTGTAGACCACTGGAGATCCCCTTGCAGAGGTCTCTCGGGGAGGAGATGAGCCAGACAGGGTGCAATGTAGCAACGATGAAAAATACAACTTTTCTCTAGTTCGTAAAGGTTTCCTCCCTATCCCCCCTCCCACTATCATGATCCGAATTCTACCCTGCAAGTCTGGCTAGACCAGAGGATGTACACTGGTACAGATAGGTACTGGAAACACCCTCCTATGACACTTTGATTCATTCTCCACCGTGTTTGATAATTCATTGTAATGGCTCCACAGAACTCATAGATAATTCTCACAATTATGGGGCTTATTAGGGAAGTAACAGGTTACAATTCAGGTTCAGGAATACTCAGGATACAGTTCATCAACCAGGAAAACTCAGCCAGGCCCATATGCATGCCTCTCTCTGGCCCTTGGCCTCTTAGCTCTGCCTCTGTCTTGCTTGAACAAATGTTACAAAGTTCTTTAGCTCTGCCAAGTAAGTGCCCAGAGGCACCCCACTCCACCTGTAATCTCAGCTCCCAAACCCCCAGCTTTTCCTCTCTGGTTGCCATGGAGACCCATCATGCTTTCTCAGACCAGTCTCTAGGTTCTGCCACTCATTCTCTATTGCTGCTGCTGCTGCTGCTGCTGCCGCTGCTGCTCTTGGGTCAGTTTCGACTCATAGTGACAACAGGATGAAACTGCGCCATCCTCTAAATTGTCCTTAAGTTGGAGCCCGTTGTTGCAGCCATTGTGTGAGTCCATCTCGTTGAGGACCTTCCTCTTTTTCGCTGCCCCTCTTACTTTACCAAGCATGATGTCCTTCTCTAGGGACTGGTCTCCACTGACAACATGGCCAGGTGTGTAAGTTGAAGTCTCCTCAGCCCTGCCTTTAAGGAGCATTCTGGCTGTACTTTTTCCAAGACAGAATTGTTTGTCCTTTTGGCAGTCCGTGAAACTCTCAATATTCTTTGCTAGTTACACAATTCAAACACATAGATTCTTCTTCGGTTTTCTTATTCAATGGCCAACCTTCAAATGCATATGAGGTGATTGAAAATACCATGGCTTGAGTTAGGTGCGCCTTAGTCTTCAAAGATGCTTGTTTTTAACTTCTTTACTTTTCAACACGGTAAAGAGATCTTGTGCAGCAGATTTACCTGATACAGCATGCCTTTTGATTTCTTGACTGCTGCTTCCTTGAGCATGGATTGTTGGTCCAAGTAAGACAAAATCCATGACAACTTCAATCTTGCCCCTATTTATCATGGTGTTACCAAGTGGTCCAGTGGTGAGGATTTTGGTCTTTACACTGAGTTGTGATCCACACTGCAGGCTGCAAGCCTTGCTCTTCATCAACAAGTGTTTCAAGTCCTCCTCACTTTCCGCAAGCAAGGTCATCTGTATCGCAAGTTGTTAATAACCCTTCCTCGAATCCTCATGTTGTATTCTTCTTCTTATAATCCAGCTTCTCTGATTTTGTGCTCAGTATACAGATTGAGTAAGTGTGGTGAGAGGATACAACCTTGCCTCAGACCTTCTATGATTTTAAACCTTGTTCTGTTCACACAACTACGTCTTGCTCCACATACAAGTTCTGCATGGGCATAATGAAGTGTTTTGGAATCTCCATTCTTCTCATACCTATCCATAGTTTGTTATGATCCACACAGTTCAATGCCTTGACATAGTCCATCTGACATCAGCAATGATATTCCTTGTTCTACATCTCTGCTGCTACTCCTCACCATATCCCACTGTCTCCAGTGTCACCGCTCCCTGTCTCCTGCATTGATGAGGCGCAGTGAAGGGATCCTGGGTCCAAAGGACGTGCTCTTCTTCCTTGGTGGTTGTGAGATTACCCTTTCTACTCGGGGATGGTTCACTTTAAGCCTCATGGGATAGCAAAGCTGAGCAATTTCCACGTTAGGGTTCCATGTACCTTATTTTCAGTATTATCTGGCTATCTAAAGCACCTCATGTATGCTAGTCCTAGCCAGTTGTTTAGTGGGAGTTACAAAGACTATGGCCAGCAGGGCCTTAAGTAATTCATAGCGCTGCAATGTTTAAAGTAGGTTCCTTTTAGGGGGCAAATGCTTGGATCCCCCTGCTATAGCATTTGTGCTAAATTCAATGTGACCATTTTTGCCTTTTAATTGGAATATCTAGACTATTTTAATGTTATTGTTTACATGGTTGTAGTCAAAACTACCAACTTTGCTATTAAATTCTGAATTCTTTGGTTGCCATTTGGCTTCCTAGCCCATCCAAGTAGAGGAGGCACAGTATATGTCCTCTGCCTCATTGACCTCAAACTTGGCATGTGACTTGTTCTGACTCATGGGGTCTAGGTAGATATTATATGAGCAGAAACCTTAAATTTGGCTTGGCATCTTTTAGTTGCTTCTTCAACCTACTATGAGAAGAATATCTCAAAGTAGCCATGTGTTAAAGGAGGGTGAGAAGTCACATGGAACAGACTTAAACCCAATTCCTAGTTTGGAAACCTAGCCCAGCCAAGTTGCAGCCTGAAAGAGAGTAGGATCTATAGACCTGTTAAATAAATCAAAGTGTACTTAGAAGAAAACTATATATATAGTTAATATTTTATTTATATCCTTCCACTTATTAATTATTTATTTGCTTTTTGTTTATGAGTCAGTCCATATTTATTATTTTGTAAAGTGTTCACTTTGCTGTGCCCTTCCTTTTTTTAATTAAAATATCTTTTTCCCCAAAAAAGATCATTTTATTGGGGGCTGTTACAGCTCCTATAGCAATCCATACATCAATTGTATCAAGTGTATCTGTACACATGTTGTCATTATTTTCTAAACATTTACTTTCTATTGAGTCGTGACCCATTGATAAATTATTATTTTCATATCTTACACCGACCGCTGTCTCCTTTCCCCCACGGTTTCTGTTGTTCATCCCCCTGGAGTGGGTGTGTGTGTGTTGTTGGGTGTGTTGATTATTGCAATAAGCTCCCCCTTCTTCCCCTTCTCTCCCTACCTTCCACCACCCTCCTGGTATCGCTACTCCCATTCCTTGTTTCAGGATACCTCCCATCTTGCCCTTTCTTTTAAAAAACAGTTTTATTGAAATATAATTCACATATCATGCAATTCAGTAGTTCAGGCACATCAAGAAGAGTTGTACAGTCATCCATCACTCCCAGCAGTTTTAGAACATTTTCTTCATTGTTGTACTTGTTATTATTGTGTTGTGTTAGGTGCCATTCAGTTTGCTCTGACACATAGTAGGCAGACACACAAGATTGAGGTCCAGACCCCAATTATGTTGTGTGTATATATATATGGATTTTTAAAAAAGCTGTACCTTTTGGGTTTAGTATTGTAAAACTATTAGAATTGTAAAGCTATTTTACCAGAACAGTCAGGAATCAGTGTATTGAGGGATTAAATTGCTCTAGAAGACCTGAAATACCTCTGTCCCTCCCGGGATGCTTGGGCTTCTCCAAGTCTCGTGCCACGTTTTCAGCTATCCTTCCGGTCTGTGTAATTCTGACAGCAGAGTAGAAAAGTACGTCGTCTGAACCCGAACCAGACAAGCAGCGCCTATCCCTTTACCAGAAACCAATGATGTGGAAAGATCTTTAGCTGCAAGGGAGGATAAGTGTCAACCTTGCTGACTTGACCGGTGATCATGAGGCGCCACCCTTTGACCTGTGGGTGCACGGGGTGGGGCTGGGGGTGCCATGTGGCAGTGAGATGCTGAGTCTAGGTCACACTGCCTCTCCCCCCACCCTTCCCTCCTAAATAAACCAGAGAACCTCGTGCTCATCCCTAGGGAAAGAGGATGTTGTGGAGACTAGCATGAGGGCACTGGACTCAAGGTAGTATTTTCATAGTTGTTAACCATTTAGGTAGAATCTTCTGGCATCTGAAAATTGTCCAAAACAGGTGTGCATGGCTGCTACTGCCTCATTTTGACTCCTTTAAAAACATGGAACACAGGTTTGTAGAAAGAAAAGTGAAAACAGTGGAATAAAAAGCCAGCTACATAAAATATGCAACTCAAAACATTTCTTCTTCTACAGCTGTTGGAAGAATTAAAGGACAGCCTCTCCCACTACTATTGTTTTTCGAGGCGCTCTTTAATACAAGCCAAGCGTATAAACGTCCTGTGGATGCACTTCTAACCCTGGAGGGCATCAAGTGTGGATTATCGGAAAAACGGTTAGATTTGGTTATACACTGGGTCACCCAGGAAAGGTAAGCAAAATTAAGCTTTTGGCCTAATTTTAATATTTAGTTAACAAAGTAACGGAGCCTTGGGGCCCTGGGACCATAGTGCCTGGCTGCTGACTGAAAGGTTGGCAGTGTGAACGCCTCATCCACTTGGACAGAAAAACATGTGGCTGTCTGCTTCTGTGAAGAGGAACAGCTTTGGAAACTCTGGGGGCAGTTCTAGCTATCTTGTTGGGTCCCTGTGAATTGGAATGAATTCTGATGGCAATGGCTTTTGGGGTTTAGGTTAATAAAATTCTGCTTTAAAGTTTTTAAATAGGTTTTCATCAGTACATTGTTTGAGCACTTATTTCTAGTCCTGACTGCAGTTGACCGATTAGAAGGTGTTTTACTCAGCATTCATAGAGTAACGAGGAGCCGTACAATGAGCCCAGGGTATCGATTCTGGCAGATCCTGAGACCATCCCTGACCCCTTTACAGGGGATGGGAACTGAGCAATAAAGCCAGACCAAGGTAGGCCAGCATTACACGAGTGGAAAAAGCAAGACCGGGTTGCAGACAGGCTGGGAGCACTTGTAAACATCAACACACCTGACGACTTCTGGAAGAAACCAAACAGGTGAAGCGTTTAGGTCAGGCAGGGACAAAGCTGTGAGGTAGCAGTGTCCTTGGAAGTGCGGTTAGTGTCACTGGAAGTTTGGAAAAGAAAGCTTAGGACTGGCAGGCCTTGGTGCCAGTTTAAGCACAGGAATTGTGTGAAAGCATTTCCTGGCTTAAAGACTAGTGGGTCTGAGGTAGGGTTTTCTGGGGAGCACCTATCTGTCTCGGGGTGGCGGTGAAGCAGCATGCCCAACAGCTCACAGGAGTACTTGTCTGCTTGCTCTGCTCCTGAGGGGCCTGGTTGCGACGGCTTCCATGGTTTCACCTGTGAATGGTGGATCCAAGCACTTTGCCCTGGGACTTTTAAGAGCAGTGGGGGTAGAGAGAATTCCTTGGAAGGGACCCTTCCAGATTGGCTGGAGCTGGGAATTGGGGGACCCGTCCTTCCATGTTTTTATAAGAACTAGGTCTCCAGGCAGGCATCCTCCCCTTGGGCCTGGATGAACCCACACTGATGGAATGGCTCTTGACATTGGGCTACTCTGTGGCATATTGCTTTATTGAAGCTACCTCAGCACCTATAGCTGGCTCCGTTACAAGGAAAGGTTCCCCCCCTAAACTTCAATAGGGGCTTAAACACATAGCTTGCCATGGGGCAATTCTGAGACATAGCAGAGCTATTGCAAGTGCATCTTCTGATCATCTGAGTTTCTTGTGTCAGTTTGCTGAGGGTTAGCTTTAATTGTTGATTAATTCTCTCTACTTCCCTGAGGACTGTGGCCTCCTGGCACAGTGGAGACGATAGGTTATTCCCAAGTGTTGGGAGACTGCCTGAGAGATCTGGGATATGAAAGCAGACCCGTTATCACTCTGCAGTGATTTGGGAAGCCCAAATCCAGGGATTACTTCCTGAGCCTTCTCAGTGCGGGTCGGACATGCTTCAATCCACCAGCTAAAGGTGTCTATGAACACTAGAAGACACTTGAATCCTTGGGCGGCTGGAACCTGGGTACAATCTATCTGCCAGTCTTCCCCAGGGTAGGATCCTTTGCGCTGGATAGGTTAAGCAAGTTGATTTCTAAGTGCCCTTTGGGTTTGGCAGGTAGGACAGTGAGAGGTTACTGACCTGAGAGTCAAGATTAAATTGGCCCCACAGAACTGCTGAAGGAGCAGGGTCAAAGAGGGTTTATAGCTAAGATAGGTGGTGTTGTGGAAAGCTTACACGACTTTCAACTGTAACCTTTGTAGCAGTAGGAGCTTGTTGTTTTCTCCCACCATCCGTCAGGTTGAAAGCAGAATTCCTGAGTCTTGGCCTGTTCTGGAGAGTAATCTGGTAGAGGAAGCTGGTTTGAGGAAATTAAGGGATTTATGGAAGCTAGTGGGTTTGTGCTCAGGGCTGCCTGTCTGCGTGCCCTCTCAGCTGCTCTGTTGCCCACGATGTGGGCTTCTGAGTCGCCCTTCTGGTGCCCTCGGCAGTGCACTGCTGCCACTTCCTCAGGGTTTTGGACAGCTTCTAAGAGTGCCCTGATTTGGCCCCTGTACTTTATGAGGCTTCCCTGGGTGATAAGATATCCTCTTTCCTGCCAGATTGAGGAGTGGGAGTGGAGAACTGAAACCCCATATCTAGAATCAGTATACCGCGTTGATTTCTTTTCCGCTGCTTGCTCAAGGTGTTGTGACAATGCTATGAGTTCAGCCAGCTGGGCTGAAGTTCCCAGGGGCAGGGGGGTGGCTTCAATGACTTGGTCAAGGGAACAGTGGCATAATCGACCTTGCACACTTCATCAGTCACAAAGCTGCTACTGTCAGAGAACCAGACACAGTCTGCTTCAGCAAGCGGATGGTCTTTCAGGTCTGGCTGAGGCAAGTTATTAGTAGAAAGTAGCTCAAAGCAGGAGTGGAGGGGGCTAGGGTCAGGGAGTAATGTGGTTGGATTGAGGATGCTATAGGTCTGGACGGTGACTTTAGGGTTCTCTATAAGAAGGATTTGGGAAAAAATTTTAAAAAGAGAGAAGGATTTGGAACTTTAATAGGCAGCTATCAGAAAGCCAGATATAGCTTTGGCTTGTAGCACTTCGTAGAACCTATGATTAGTCAGGACCTCTAAAGTTCCTCCTATGGTGATATTCACTGCTTCTTAGGCTAAGAATGCCATGGCAGCTATTGCTCATAGACAAGATGGCCAGCTGGCTGAGTTAAGATCTAACCTCTTTGATAAATATGCCACTGGCTGAGACTGGGGTTCTAGCTTCTGGATTAGTACTTCCAGAGCTATGCCCCTTCTCTCATGAGCATACAAGAAAACTTTTCATAGCGTCTGGGAGACCCAGTGTTGGAGCTTGGAGCAGAAGAGCCTTAAGTTGTTCCACTGCATCCCTTTCCTCTGTGCCCCACAGGTGTGGTTGAAAGTCACTTTCCCTTTCAGGCTCTCATATAGGGGTTTTGCTAGGAGTCCATAGTTGGGAATCCAGATTCCACATCACCCAGTAAGGCCTAGAAACACTCTTAGCTGTCTCTGGCAGCTCCACAATTGCCCTTACTCATTCTAAGGAGAGCCCTTTCTTTCCTTTTGATAAGACTAGTCCTGTTGCACTAGCTGGGCTTTGGCCCTAGAGACTCTGTAGTCTCTTTCTGCCAAGAAGTCTAGACTTGTACTATATGAACAATGGACTTTTCCCGAGTGGTGCAGCAGATGAGGAGGTCATTGCATACTGTAGGACTGTGTGCCTTCTAGAGTAAGACCAGCTAGGTCCTGGCTTAGGGCTTGTCCAAACAAATGGGGGCTATCTCGGAAGCTCGTTGGCAACAAAGTCCGGGAAAGTTGGTGGGACTGCCCCTGGTCTAATTTTCACTCAAAAGCAAGAAGGAACTGGCGCTGTGGGTCCAGTGGCATGCAGAAAAAGTCATCCTTTAAGTCCAGAACGCTGTACCACTGTGTGGAGCTAGGAATTACCCCTTGGAGTGTATAGAGGTTTGGTACTACTGGGTACAGTGGGATCACTGCTTCATTGATTATCCTGAGGTCTTGAACCAGCTGATAAGACCTGTCGTTCTTTTTGATTGGTAATATTGGGGTGACACGGGGAGTTACCAGGGACCAAAAGTCCATGCCGGAAGAATTTATTAATAAGGGGTTGTAATCCTTTGATGGCTTCAGGTTTCAAAGGGTACTGCCGCTGGCGGGGAAACTGGGTGGGGTATTTTAGGAAAATTTTTTACCGGGGTTGCATGTTTAGCTCTGCTGGGGACTCCCGTGTCTGAGACCTCAGGATCTATGGCACTTTCCCATTGTTCCTGTGTGGGGCTTTGCGGCTCCTCTGCAGTCAGGAACCTTTGGAAAGCTGTAGTGGGACTAGGGTGAAGCCCTATGACTATGTAGGTGGGTAGCTTAAATAATCCATCTCAGTCTAGAAGAGTGGCTGGACATTCAGGGACTATAGGAAGCTCTGAGAGAAGTGAAAGTGGCCCCAGAGGCACCTTAAGGGTTCAGTAAAGTGTTTGACTACAGGTTTTCCTAATACTCCCAGGATGGTGCAAGTGTGGGGTGCCAGGGGTCTGAGGAAGGGGCTAAGGACAGTGTAGACGGCCCCAGTACCTAGGAGGAAATTTACTGACATATCTGCCACATCGATGTTCACCAGAGGCTCCAGACTAGTCATAGCTATCCCCTGCTGCCTGGCCCTTCAGGCCGGGCTGTTTCAGTCCTCACTTAGCAGCTGCACACTAGCCTGCAGGTGCTTCCCCTCCTGGTGGTTGTCTCCTATAGGACAGAGTGATGTCCAGTGGCCAGTTTGTTTGCAGTGGTAGCATGGCAATGGAGCAGGTATTCTGGTTGGGGCAATCCCTCACTCAGTAGCCCAGGCGTTGACACACATGGCACCTAGTGCCTTGTTCAGGGGTCTTGGAAACCTGGGAGGCAGTCAATGGGCGGTGGTTAGCAATGGTGGCCAATACCTGCACATGCTTAATATTCTTTCTTCTCTCCTCCTGAGCCTGGACTTCCCTTACTTGTCTCTAGTGTAAAAGGTGGCATTAGCACTAGTGACCATCTCTTCTAGGGTAACTCTTCCAGGCTTCTGCACTAACTTCTGGAGCTTTTTCTGAATGTCTAGTGTGGCCTGTGTGAGAAATTTGTCCCTGAGTAGGACTTGTCCTGCATATGAATCTATGTCTACAGTGGTGTGATTCCTCAGGGCTTCTTTCAGCTGCTCTAAGAATCTTACAAGGCTTTCATCAGGCCCCTGGTGAATATCTGTCACTTTGGTGTAATTGATGTCCTTTTTCCACCCTGACTTTAGTCCATTTGTGATACACACCAGAAAATGTTCCCAGGCCACCTGTCACTGGGATCATTATAATCCCAGGTGGAGTCAGTAGAAGGCACAGCTGTTTCTCCTATTGGATACTTATCATTCATCACATGTAAACCTTCTGCAAACTTCTTAGCTCCCTTCAGCACTCCCTCTTTCTCAAAGTCTGTCATAGTCTGTCCCAGAATGATCATTGCATCCTCCCAAGTCAAGTCATAGGCTAGGGTGAGGTGCTGAAAGATCTCTGTGTGCTGTATGGAACTATCTGAGTAACTGCCTAGGTCACTCTTAATCTGCCTGAGTTCAATTATGATGAAAGGCTTATGAATGGCCCGGGGACCCAACTCCCCAGCTGCCTCTATTAAGGGTAGGACTTTGACAGGCTACCTGTTTCCCCAGCATCTACAGGTTCAGGGACCGAGGGTGGTGTGGCTGCGTGGGAGCTAGAATGGCCTTCAACTGTAGGGCCCCTTAGGGGGTCCTTGGTACACTTGGAACGAAGGTCTTTACTGCTTCTCAGGAGGAAAAAGGCTTTGACATAAGGGAACTCCTCCCACTTTCCCATCCCTTTGCAGAAATGCTCTGGCTGAATCAGGGTCGGAAGGGAAAGTGTGCCATTCTTTGGCCAGGATTCCCTGTCATCTAGAATATACTGAGGCCAGATGGTGTTGCAGAACGAGATTAACTTCTGTTCCTCCATCGTCTGCGGGTTAAATCTATCCCAATTAGACAGGATGCAAAGCAAAGGATGAGCTTCCTTTCGGCACTGATCCTCCAATCCCCATGCAGAATACAAAATCAGCAGTGAAGTCAGGAGAGCATGGCACCCCAGGGTCCTCACTGGGGTCCCAGCACGAGCCACATCTATGCTCTGTGGGACCTGAGACTACTCGACAGGTGCCCTGCTTGAGGAAGGGGTCTTTTCCAAAGAAAGCAATGGTGTGCAAAGGCACAGTTTTATCAACAGTGTATGAAGTTACAGTTTCTTAGTGTTCTGAGCAACAATAGTGTGATCTGATCTTTTTAATTTTGGACATTTTATTAGGAGTTCAGTGGTATCTCATTGTGATTTTAATTTGCAGTTTTATATTTACTAAAGATGTTGATCACATGTATTTCCTGTTACTTCTTATAAATCTCTGGCAAATTGAAAAAACTAACAGTTAGGTCACACTTTCATTATTTCTCTTTTAGTTCAAGGGTTTTCAAGATTCCTCACTAATTCTGAAATCAGTTGTCATCTTTAACCAACACTAAATAAGTTCTTGGGTTTAGAACCAAGATAAATGCTGAGAACCTCAATTATGAGAGATGTTTGTTTTCCTTGAACTTTCAGTCCCACCGTCTTTTCAGAGCAGTTTCAATCTTCTTTGTCATTTTTGAGAACATATGCTCAGTGTCACCAGGATATCTGCACGCGCTGATGGTGTGTTGTCCTTGTTGGTGAGTCACAGAGGTGACCTCAGTCGCTTAACCCTTCAGAGTCCTTGCAGGCCGAGGAAGCCAGGTCTCCCACGTTGAGTGTGTGTGCGCAGAGCCGCACCCACTCGCCAGGGCTCACAGACGTTGATCTGTTTTCTCCAGGCTGCTACTTACCGAGGAAGTCGGGGATGTGATTTTTGATTATGGGGAGCAGGATCCATACAACAAGACCAAATGTGTGGCTTTAGCGCAAACGATCTACAACGGATGTGGCCTGTACCAGAAAAATCTTCTCTGCCTGTGTAAACTCGGTCAGATTCACGAGGCCATGGAGTACATACATCAGTCCAAGGAGCTTACCACCAGTAAGTGAAACCCAAAGCCGCCCCGGGGCTCCCAGAGAAAGAAATGCTTTAGAAGGATGATGGCAACATATGCACACATGTGCTTGATGCAGTTGGTGTATGGGTTATAAGAGCTGTAAGTGCCCCCAATAAAACGGTTTATAAAAATACAACAAACAAACTTAAACCCCACACAAGTCAAAATGCTGTGCATTTGAATTCTGGGTTTTAATTTAAGATCACTTATGATAGCAGGCAATGGAGCAGCTGCTGTGTTCAAACTGCCAACCTTTTGGTGAGCAGCCAAATGCTTCACCACCACACCACCAGGCATTCATCTGTCTGTCTATCTTCCTATCTATATGATAAGCAGGTCATTTCACTCACAAGTTCAAGTGGAAACAGCTGTAAGCGATTGACTTTCATGTTGGGCATTCAGATGTATCACAGTTTTTCTTCAATGCATAAATATTTAGTAAACTGGACAGTCTAGGACATATGACGTTTTAAAGATAATTAATGGGTACACTGTTACATGCTACTTAAAATATTTTTTAAAAACACTTGAACTTGAGAGGCCCTGAGTTTTATCTGATAATGTGTCCATGCTATGCATATGATTTTCAGCGACTAAGTCCTCTGAAATAGACCGCTGTTTTTTTCTTCATCATCTGGTCTTAGTGTGGAAATTCTGCCGAAACCTGTTCACTTTGGGTGACTGTGATAGTTACATAATCTGGTGTCAATCTGGGCCTTGGGAGGATTACGAGTGAATGGGTGGAGTCTAGTCTGTCATAGCCAGTGAGGCCTCTGTGTGGGCATGGCCTTCCCCTGAGGATTCTGGGAATTCCTGTATTAGTTCCTCCTTGGAGGCAGAAGACACTTCTCTCTCCTACTCACTCCTTTGGGGAGACTCTGCTGACTCCCTGTGAGACATCACGAGGAGAAGCCACATGTACCTACCCTGATGCAGCCAGAACCTTGGACCTGGAGACGCCACGTGGAGACCCTGCCAGTGCTGAGATGCTTACAATGCCACTGAAGCTACAAGACTGCCCACCTACTGGCCTGTGATCTTCCAGCATTTGGCATCGTTGCATGTATTTTGTGATTCTGAAGAGGACTTTATAGATTGGTGTCAGACATATATTGGACTTATGGACTGGGCTGGGATGTTTTCTCAATGTTCAATTCCTCTTGGATATAAATCTCTTTCTTATACATATATGTGTGTCCATGGATTTGTTTCTCTAGTCTACCCAGACTAACACAGGCATCACAGCCACCACAAACTGTCAGACAAGTGGTTGTGTGTCGGGGGAGGTCAGATGCCAGGCATTTCCTCCCCTGAGGGCAATCAGTTGCCAGACTGCTGTCTCATCCCACCACAGGAGTGGGCCTGCTCCCTGCCTCTGGGGACAATGGACTGGGTCCTGTGGGAGGGGTTTGCACCCTACTGATAATGTTCCTATGGAGACCCAGAGACCACCCCCTCATTACTGTGTAACCTATAGTGCAGCCCCTCCCTGTGATGTATATCTCTACCTGTAATTAGTGGGCTGGCATGACCCCAAAAGGTATATAGGCGTGAGTCAGCAATATAGAGCTCTCTGATCTCTCTGATCTCTCTCTCTGGCTCCCCTCTCTTCTCCCTCTCCCTTGTTCCCTTGCCCTCCTTCCCTTCCCCCTCTCTCCATGTGGACCACCAAGCGGGGCTGAGGTGAGCAATACTACCATGTAATGTGTTTGACTGCATTATTGTAATAGCTCTCATGCTCTCGATGACTTTAATATAATACTTATATATCTCAACCGTACAACTGTGCATTACTGAACCCGTGGGTAGTATTATTAGTAGCAGTGGGTGGGGCTGGCCACTCACCCCACCACCCTCCATACCTTTAATTTAATACTACAGTTGTGAGCAAACAGTCAGAGAAGCTGGATTCTACAAAGAAGTGAGTGGCATCAGGGTCAGGGGAAGGCTTATTAACAACTGTGACATGCAGATGACACAACCTTGCTTGCTGAAGTGAGGAGGACTTGACACATTTGCTGATGAAGACCAAGGACTGCAGGCTTCAGTATGGACTGCAGCGTATTGCAAAGAAGACCCAAATCCTCACACCTGGACCAATAGGTAACATGAGAAAAGGAGAAAAAATTGAAGTTGGCAAGGACTTCGTCTAGCTTGGATCCACAATCAACACTCATGGAAGCAGCAGTCAAGAGATCAAATGACACATTGCATTGGGTAGATCTGCTGAACCAGACCTCTTTATGTTGAAAAACAGCACTATCACTTGGAGAGGACTAAAGTACGCCTGACCCAGGCCATGGGCTTTTCAATTGCTTCATATATATGTGAACCTTGGAGACTGATTAAGGAAGGATGGAAAAGAATCAATGTGTGTGAATTATGGTGTTGGCAAAGAATATTCACAGTACCATGAACTGCCAAAAGAACAAATAAATCTGTCTTGGAAAAAGTACAGAAGTACAGTCAGAATGTTCCTTAGAGGCAAGGATGGCTAGACTTTGTCTCACGTGCTTTGTCCAGGTTGTCAGGAGAGATCAGTCCCTGGAGAAGGACATCATGCTTGGTAAAGCAGAGGAGCAGTGAGACAGAGGAAGGCCCGCGACATGATGGATTGACATACTAACTGCAACAACGGCCTCACACAGAACAACTGTGAGGATGGCGAGGGACCGGGCCAGTGTTTGGTTCTGTTGTCTCTGTGGCATCTAACCACAACAACCTTGACAGATTTTCTTGAAAGACACTGGATGATCATGGTGACTCATTATGAAGGAGTTTTCAGAACATTGAAAATCAGGAAAGTTGAACTGAGAAGTTGGTTTCAAACATGACAATGCACTTACTTATTCCTTGAGGGTACCAAGGAACCCCTGCGAGAATTTTCTTGGGGAACCTTATCCATCCTATTGCCCTCATCTTGTCTATCAGATTTCTTTTTGTTTTCCAAACTGAAAGAACATTGAAAAGGAACACAATTAGAGTCCTTTGAGGATGCTGTTTTGACATGGTCTATTAGACTAGAGAAACAAATTCATAGACACTCATGTTTATAAGAGGGAGTTTTATATACAAGAACAATTGTACATTGAGAAAACATTCCAGCCCAGTCCAGATCAAGTTCATAAGTCTGATTTTAGTCCTTATGTCCGATATTAATATATAAATTCCTCTTAAGATTCATGAAACATGCAATGACGCTCAATACAGGAAGATCACAGGCCAGTGGGTGGAAAGTCTTGTGGATCCAGTGGCGGTAGAGGCATCTCAGTGCTGGCAGAGGTCTCCATGTGGCTCTTTCAGCTCTAGGGCTCTAGTGTAGCTCCATGTGTCTCATCAGCAAGCATGCCTCATAGGGAGTGAACATGTGCCCCGCCTCCAGCGAGCTATTTATCTATCTATCTCCTTAATGCCTCTAAATGAGGTCATCAAGCTGTGACTTGATTGGCAGGCTAAACTCCACCCCTTCACTTTTAAGCCTCTAGTTGACAACAGATTATGTAACTACCACACATGATGTGAATCAAAGAGCTTAGAATTCTTCAAGGAAGGATAGAGATGGAAGCAATGCCTTCAGAATTGGGTAAATTGGAAGCTATGTTGAGAAATGATAACTTCATTGATATTTTTGTTTAATAAAGGTATCTATAATTTTGCAGTAACACTTTTTACTTACTTTCGTTTAAGTCATAAATATAGCTTTAAGTGATTCAGTGGTTAAGGAGTAGATCGAACCATAAGAAAGCTCTTTTCAGCCCACAAATGGTCAAGTGTTAACCACTTCATGTGGCTCTATTTACAGATGACTGAACTAGCTAATGGCTTTGTAGACTCTTTTTTGGAACGTCTCAATCTGTGATATTTAAAATAACAACATCAGTAGGTTTCTTTCTGATGCAATGCACAGAAACACAGACTGTATACTCCTTAGAAGTTGACTCAAAGATGAGCAGCACGTAATGAATCAACACAATGTAGCACCAGATGGAACTCTAGCAATGATCCACAATTTTGGCATTTTCCAGAGGCAGAAGTAGAGATCTCAGAGATCATAGATGGTAGGACTAAACTCTAAGAGTTCAGCTTTCCGAGTTGCCACTCTTTTTAGGATAGTCCTTTGATGGAGGTCGTTTTTTCCCTTCCTGGTGTGTGCGTGCTCTGTGACGGGCTGTTTGCATTGGTTTAGTTTTGCTGTAGTTGGCATGTCTTGTTGCTGTTATTGGGCACAGCACTGCGCGTTTAGGCTGGAGTTAGTCATGGGGGCCTGGAAGGGTTGGATAGGAAGTGCTGATTCCGAAGGACAGGCAGTATCTGGTTCCTGGTAGACTTGCCAGAGTAGGCTGGTGACGTTTCAGTTTCTAATTTTTTCTTTCAGGTGACCTGTTGCAGCTCATTCGTTTATGTCCTCAAATTGATGTCATTCTAAGTCTCACGAAAGAATGGAATGGGAAGCCACCATATCTATCTCTGGACCTTGCTATACTTCATCTGTTCGCTGTAGATATGAAAAAAATTGGTATCAAGTTACTTCAAGAACTAAATAGAGGTGGGAAAGGTAAGTAAAGCAGAAAGTTAAGGAAGAAATCGCAGTTAAGTAATACTGTCTATCTCAGATATAATCTAGGAACAGGGTTATGTAGGGGACTAAACGTAGGAAAGGAACTTGAGAGTCACAATTGAGCTACTTTGACTAGCAACTTACTGGGTAAGTTCAAGATTATGATATATGCACTAACTCAAATCTTCTGTGCATTCTCTTTTGACAGAAGGTAACTTTGGATCCAGTCACCTAAACTGTTAATCTGTACAAATCAAAAATCCCATGTATTTTGGTCTAAAAAAACTGTCCTATACAAGTATACTTTCTTTTTCTTGACAATGTTTCAAATTCTATACTGTTGGCAAAATTAATGTTCATATCAATAGAATTACCATATGCACCACAAGGATCATTTATATTGTCCTTCAACAAAATAATAATGTCTTTAAGGTGAACCGGGGGCATCTGTAAACTATAGACATATGAGTGGATTTTGAGCTCGTATTTAATCATAGGTCCAATCCACAGCAAAGTGTGGTGAAGAAAGCACATGACACCCGTGGTCAGAAAGAATAGCATCTGGGATCTTATGGCTTATCTTAAAGCAAGCAGCTGCCTGTCTACACGAGGCATTGGCTATATCCGCACGTAAGGAGCACACCAGCATGTGTGATCCAAGAGTTGTAAATAATAAAATCCAAACCCGGAGGAGGGAATAATGTTAAACTTTAAATTCTGAACACCCAGTTTGCAGAAGGCTGCTGTTGACGGTGAAAGCCCAAAGCCAGTTTGCAGGGTGAAGTCTCTGGGGCCTCCCCTCTGACTCTGGTGTGGAGATAGGAAAGGCCCTGTTCCCAGACAGAGTGCACGGCAGTGGCAGTTAGGTCAAAATGTGGCACCTCGTCTTTGATCTCCCTCTTGTCCAACGTCTCATTGCCAGTTTTTAATATTTTCTGCTTTGTTATAAATTGAGGTTTTCTTTATTTCATTGTTGTTGGGCCATTTATTTGTATTCTGCCTTGATTTTCTGTATGTGAAACCCAGATTAGGAAACCCTATAGAGACAATAACTGAACCAGTAGCTTCAAAGGGACCTTACAGGGGAGGCATCATGAACTGCTGACATGACGAATACTGACATGGATGAACTGCTGACATATATAAACCACTGACATGGATGAATACTGACGTGGATGAACTGCCAACATGTATGAATACTGATATGTATGACTACTGACATGAATGAATACTGATATGGATGAACTGACTTGGATGAACCGCTGACATGGATGAACTGCTGACATGGATGGATAGTTACATGGATGAATACTTACATGGATGAACTGCTGACATGGATGAACCACTGACATGGATGAACCTCTGACATGGACGAATCGCTGACATGGATGAAGCGCTGACATGGATGAAACACTGACATGGATGAATACTGACATAGATGAAACACTGACATGGATGAACCTCTGACATGGATGAAGCACTGACACGAATGAAGTGCTGACATGGA